CATATCGGTGAAGCAAAAAATTCACCGCACCATGTCACGCGTCACACCACCGGTGAATTGAATGAAATGGCCCAGTACCCTGGGTTAGCAAGTTACGAGATAAGTCAGTGCAAGAAACGCCATATCACCGTTCGTGATGCTCGTTATAGCTTGATGATGAACAGCCTTCTTGAAGACCGTACACGCTTGATCAGTCCTCTTTCCTTGTCATTTGAATGCAGAGACGATGGAGGGGTACCAGAGGAGAAAGATGAAAACCTAGGTGTCAAACAAGCACATCATCTGGTGGTGTATCAAGTAGAAAGACTTTGTTAGGACGTCTCGCTGCCGGTGTGAAAAAAGTACTTGATGTACCATTGATGAGAATGGGATTCGAACCCACGCCCCCGAAGAGACCAGATAACAGGTAGTAACAGGTAGACATCGGATGTCTTGGTCCTTAGTCTGGCGCCTTAGACCGCTCGGCCATCTCACCATGGGGTACGAGACGGAGCAGGCTTTCTTGCCGCGAAGGGCGTCGACGACGACGTTATCTGCTACAGAGTTGCGCAGCATAAAGGTCTTGAAGATTGTATTTCTATCAGACGATGTGTTTATCTGAGGCGCTGCAGAATCTTCGATTCCCAGAGCTCGGCGTTTCTCATAGCTGTCGTGCTCAGTTGAGCCCACATAAAAGGACAACCAGGAACCTTTCTCACCGTTTGCATCACATATATCACGTATTTCACCGAATTTGGGCGATATAAGCCAGGAGGATCACCGGTGTAGGTCAAAATACGTCGCCCAAGTAGAGATCAAACGAGTATGGCCTAGGTGTCTTTCCTTGAAAACATGTGCCGGATACAAGAATAAAGCGAAGCAAATCTAACAAGTTTTAGGGAAACTCTCGAAATTCAAATCTGCAAGAGTTTGACAATAGTGAGAATGGTCGAGCATCTTGAGCAAGCGACATTCTTCCAACTTCCATCACCATTGTGTCCTCAAAGTCGCAGAGTCCTTCGATCAGGCTTTCTTGAGCTCTCAAGATGTAAAGTCCGCGCAAGCCAGACTCATGGTGCGCCAGCCTGCAGTGTCATACTCGTTCGCGTTTCAAATCGCGCATGCCGAGGCATCGGGACCCAGGACCCGCCCTATACGATATATTTCCAGGTCGTCCCTTGGGGCATTAATAGCGACGGCGTCCTCCTCTTCGCTTCACGCTATCAGCGAATATAATTGGGGACAGCGCCCGCCTTGACACGTCGCCTCCCTGGCTAGGCTGTCCATGGACAGGATATATAAACACGCTCGAATCTGGAAGGTCCTTAGCTTCATCGCCCCACTCCTCTCCTCGCCATCCCTTCGACGATTCAAGCTGCAAAAGATGACTTTCGCTGAACTCTGGTTGACCTATCAGCTCGCCTCGCGCGCTCATCTCAAGGACTCCGCGACAACCCAGCTGATCGAGTTCAAAAATCTCAACCTCGTTGACCTTGAGGACGTCCTCGAGCATGGTGAGTGCCTCGCCGCTGGCTGGTCACAGCCAACTTACTGACGCAGCTTATGGTCTGGATATAACAGTCTTCCGCCAGGGCTTTGTCGAGGCTCAGTACCGCCCTGCTACTTGGTGGGAAAACAAGGAGGGCCAGAAGGTCAAGTCCAGCCACTCTGTTGAGCTGCTGCTTGAGCAGGGCGTTGGTCGTTGCCCCCAGACCGCGTTGAAGCTCATCGTTCGTGAGTTGCTCAGTGGTTCGTGTACGGACATAGTTACTGATCCTAGTTGCAGAGGACGTTCCGACGACTTTCTGGTTCACCTACGTATACACGCATAACGCCAGCGCCCCTGTTGTCGTCCAGCGCGTCAAGCTGACCGCCTGCGAGTCGACCCGCATCGAGTTCCTTGCCCACGTCACGAACCACATCTTTAAGGAAGGTTACCTCGCCGCTAAGCTCCGTCCTACTGTTCACTGGGAAGCCCCATGTGGCAAGAAGTTCGAAGAGCACCTCCGCGTTGAGGAGATCCTGGCCTTGGGTCATGGTACTTGCGAGGAGAAGCCACTGCGCTTGATAATCGGTATGTTCGATGCATCTACTCTCCGACTGAGCTCTCATTGATGAGCAATGTAGACACCCCTATCCACCCGGTCCATCCCCCAGTCTGCCCGGCCGCTGTCATTGTCCGTGACCACTGCCACCGCTTCTGAAAGGAAAGCCTGTACGGGATGGATTTTTATACATATAATACATGATTTATGCCATGCATCTATAAACCCCCCTGAAAGTTACTGTCGAAGATCGACTCTGATACGACTGACTTGGGGAATGCCAATCTAGAGACTCAGATTGGCTGTCACAGAAAGAACAACCAGTGCATCGTCCACACGCCTCTGAACATCATTTTAGAACGAAGGATTATGCATCGATCGAAGACGAAAGGCTCAAATTACATGAGGGTCTGGAACCATTCTCAACTCAAATACAGACTTTGACCACTGGCAAAAATGACTCGCTACATTCCTCCACGCAAGCTGCGACACCACACGTTGCTCAGCAATATCCAGAGACATCAGGACAGCCTGAGCGAAGGCACGGGCTTTTTAAGATGGTCATATCAATTTTCCACAACCCCCAGGCTCAGATCCATCCAAACAGAACGACGAATCCCGCCAGAAATAGCGACCACCCAAACACCTTAGACGCCGTCCCCGGGCCCTCATCGTCGTCCAACTCGTAAATCACAGGATATTCCCTCGCGGCGATCGACTGGTACCTTGCGAAGTAGCTGTCTTGGGGTACATATCCACCATAGTGAGTGGACTGGTAACGCGCGGCGAAGGAATCTGATCACAGGTGTAGTGTTAAGTTTTAGTCATCAGCAATCAGAGAATGCGGGATATTGGGATCGCAAAATGCACTCACCTGCCCTAGGCCCGTCCTCGCCAAACCCAAAGCACCCGAGGATCCATCGGAAGACTGCTCTCGGGGCACGGTATAGAACGGTGGAGACAGCCTGGAAGGGTGCAGCAGGGTAGTAGGACCACAGAAAGAGCAATGCAGCAGAGGGGAAGCGGTGGTTATGGACTATACCGTCGATTAGGTTGGATTCAAAAAACAGTAGCACTGGGATGCTTACTCGTTGTGCCGACAAAGTCGAGCGCAGCCTGGAGGCCTTCAGCCGTAGGGACAGGGATACAGACCTTTGACCAGTGCGCCATGGGGTTTGGGGGTTGTCTGGGGCTGTGGGCTGCGGGCTGCGGGCAAATTTGAGTGTTGCGCAGCGTGTGCTTAAAGAAGCACTGGGCGCCTGTGCCGTGCCGGCATGCCTCGAGTCAAATCAGTGCGCAGCCAATCACTTTAGGTTTTTTTTTGCTTGTTTAGAGTATCGGAATACTGTAGTCTGACATGAGCTATCTGACGTCTTCTGTTGGCGTTCGAGAGTATACTCTACCATGGAAGGTGTGCCGAATAGGTACCGTTATAACTGAACGGAATTTGGTTGATCATCCAAGATCACTGGAGGAAGTTTATACAACATTCGTCCCACGAGTAGTAAATGTAGGTGAGTCTGTTGCGAGGATGGTACTAGTACTAGTAGACCCATTGGGCGATTCAGTTGTTAGGTCTCAAAAAGACAAGAAGTGAAAGACAAACTCCGTGGAAGGTGGGTAGCAAGTTCATGACGACAAGTGGATAGATTAGATTAGATTTCATGACTTGCGACACTACAAATTAGTGACCGTGGGAACGCAACGTGTCATTAGGATTTCTCTGCAAGGAAGCTGGTTGTTGAATCCGTTTCCGATCCACCACCATGCGCATATTATTACCAGGGCTCTCCTCGCTCTCGGTCTCGTTTCTCCTTCTCTTTGCACGAAACTGCATCACTGGGACTTACGCTGAGCCCAGCGGTGGTGGTCTCTACCCTCCAGGGCTTTTGCCACTCATTAACAGGGCCAACGTTCTACTGTCAGCGGGCCAGTTCAGTGAAGCGGCGCGTATATACTCCGAGGCGATCGAGCAGTCCCCGGCGGACTATGTCCTGTACTACAAGCGCGCGACAGCGTACTTTTCACTCTCTCGACATGCACCAGCGCTGGAGGACTTCGACAAGGTCCTCTCCCTAACATCAGGGACCTTCGACAATGCGAACCTCATGAAAGCGCGTATCCACACACGAGACGGTCATTTTGACCTTGCGAGAGAGGCACTCGGGCGGTACATCAAGTCTAAGGGTGCAGGCGAGGAAGCCAAGGAGCTGCAAGCCAACATCGGCATTGGAGAGGAAATGGAGGGCAAAATGGAGAAGGAGCGCGGCGCGCAGCTGTGGAATGCATGTATCGAGAGCGCAAGCGCTGCGCTCCGTGTTGCCAGTCATTCTATCGACATTCGCTCCGTGCGTGCAGAATGTGCGCTCGCCGCCGGCGACGTCGACAGTGCGGTTGGCGACCTAACGTGCGTGGATTGTTCTTGAACCATTCATAAATCTCACACACCAACAGACGACTTTCTCACCTCCTCCCACCCTCAACGACGCTACTCACAACCATCTTCCGCCTCTCTTACTTCATCCTCGCACCATCTCCCGCCCCCCTAAACACCCTCAAACAATGCCTACACTACGACCCCGACTCCAAGCCGTGCCTCACCCTCCACCGGCTGCTGAAATCCTTCGACCGATCCTTCGCCTCGCTTGAGGAGCTCCAGGCCAAGGACGACCACCGTGCCATCGTGAAGCTCCTTGTCGGCCCAAGCGGAGGCAAAAAGGGCGACGTGCTCCGGCGCTTCGACGAGGCTCTCGCCGCACACACAGACCGCTCACAACTCCTCCCCCGCCAGCTCGCCGCGCGGCAGCACACGCCCGAGATCCCCCTGCCCGACGCACGTAAGACGTCAGAGCGCCGCAAGACGCTCGTGCGTGCCCTCTGCAAGGCATATACGCAACTCGGCAACAAGCGTGAGATGGGCACCTGGTGCGAGGAGCTGCTGACGATGAGTGGGTGCGAGGAGGACATCGATGGGCTCGTGGGCCGCGGCGAGGTGCTCCTCGGCAAGCAGGAATGGGAAGAGGCTGTCCATGTGCTTGAGAAGGCGTGGGAGCAGAGTGGGCAGAGCAGTCGCGATGTATGTGCCGTCTCTCTTCTTGTTTGACGTATGTAGGCTAACGCTTGCTGGTCTAGATCCATCAACGACTCCAGCGGGCGCAGAAGCTGTTGAAGCAGAGCAAGCAGAAGGACTACTATAAGGTGCTCGGCGTTGCACGAGACGCGGATACCAAGACCATCAAGCGTGCTTTGTACGTTTGAATCCTTTGGGACTCGGAACACTAATGGACACTGACCCCCTATAACAGCCGTCAAGCAGCGAAGACTGCGCACCCGGACAAGGGCGGCTCCGAATCCAAGATGGCCGCTGTCAACGAGGCATACGAGGTCCTCACCAACCCAGGTTCGTCCGTCGTCTTCTCCCAGCCATCTACCTACTTACCGCTTGTAGAAC